AAGGCGTCGCCGGGCCACGCCCGGAGCGCTGGGTCTCAAGGGGGCTCTTGTCCCAACGAACCCGAGAGACACGAACCCGAGGATTGATTGCCGTCCCGCCTCCAGGCTCTCCTTCGGCCATTCGGCACAATGCATAGGTGCCGCCTCTGGGCAGACGCAGAAGCCGCGGGGGCGGGCAGCCCCGAACGATCCCGACAGGGCTGACATTCCTCACGGAGCGAGAATCCCGGCGGTGGTTCCTCTTCGGCTTGGCTAAGGTCTTCAGCCCCGGGACCCAGGAGCGCCCGAGCGGACCCCACCTGCCCGCCTTCTGAGCAGGCGAGGCGGGCGAAGCTACCTGTCTGGGTAAGCAGCGCCTGTTCGGACCGGGCTGTCAGTAAATCGCTGGAAGGCGGTGCAGAGAGCTGCAGCGGCGAGGCCAGGGAGGAATTAACGGCGGCGGACGGAGCTCTCCCGAAGAATGGGGTCTAAGTTAACGCGAAAGGCGGGAGGCGCCGCGCAAGACCTACTGGCTGGCTGGAGTTTGCATCTAAGCTGCGAATAGGAGCTGGAAGCTCATGGCGCTGCAGGAAGGGTTTCGGCGGCGGCGGCGGCGGAGCTCCCTTCAGGGCTGGGCGAGGAGCTCAGCGAAGGACCATTGCGGAGACCAGCAATGTCGGGCAACGCAGAAGATGCCCAGCGCCCGCAGTTCCGTCGTCCAGCGGCGCTAAACTCCAAAGACGGAGCGCCCAGGCTGTTGGTTCGCCCAGTTGCTGTTGGACTTCGCCTGTGTGAGAGTTACTTTGTGCTGCTTGAAGAAGCCGAGCAGTTTCTATCTAACCAATTGTCCCAGTCTGAAGCGCTCTAGAGTGGGTTTCTAAAAACCACCTTATGTCTTGGGGTGGGGGCTGATGGACTGCATAAAGAGGCTTCAGTCTGGGTGGGAGCATTCACTTTGGAAGATCCTCCTCCAGGTGTGGAGAAGGGTTAAGATGCACTCTTTGGCTGGCCCCATTTTAGGAAGGCCTTCTGCAATTACTACAGGGAGTTAGCTCTAACTCTGGTTAGAAGCAGTGGTGCAGCTGGGTAATTTTAGACTCTGGACCTGGTCTTATGAGGGCAGAGTAGCATAAGCCCTCCTGCTCTCTCTGCGCCATGGAACCCAGGATCTCAGCCCTGAAATCCTACTCTTAAAGGTCTGCTGGTCAGTTACCTGGTTCACCCTGGCAGAAGAAGAGGAGCCTGGATATTCCATTGTATCCAGGTGTCAACATCATCAACATATTTCAAGAATATTCAGCACTGTTTATAGGCATATCAATCTATTAGAGAGAAGGAAAGAAATTGCAGGATTGATAGGATATTCTGGTGACAGATCCCCAGACTGTGTTTCAAATACAGTGATTGAAAATGTTGACATACATTTTTTGTATATTCGCACAAGCCACAGATCAGTATAACTAAACTCCTCCCTGGTGCTCTTGCTCCTCTGCCTCTTGCTCCATCTTTTGATACGTGGAGAAGACTTGTTATTTCAGAGCGCTTCCGGTGAATTTTGCTCCGGTGCTTCACATACATACTATGTGAGTGCACCAGTTGATCCAAGCTTTAATTGCTGCACCATTTACTGACACGGACTTCCCTATGAATTGTTCATTTCTGGGCCATGCATTCTGGAAAACTGCTAGCCTATAGAGCCTCTTCCATGGCCCTTTGAAGGTGGAGCTCCTTAACTGCCTTCTTTCTCTTTTGCCCTGTGAAGGGAAGAAAACCTGGTCGATGCTGGGAAACAGCAGTAGCAACAGGAGGCCCAATAGTACAGACTGCAGACTGGCCTTTGCTGGAGAGGTCTGCCAGCTGCTCTTCATGGTCCTCCTGATCATTGCCATCTCTCTTGGAAATCTGGCGAGTCTCCTGGTCTTCTTCTGTGTGAGGCAATTCCGAACACCCCAAAGCTACCTAAAGGCCTCTTTGGCTCTTGCTGATCTGGCTGTGGGGCTCATAGTAGTACCTTACTCCGTTTATCAGGAGGCAAACATGTTGGCCTATGGAACAGAGCAAGAGAGGAGTCCAGCTGGCAGGCCTGCCTGTTTGATCACTGGCCCTATCTTTGCAGGGTGCACCTTCGTCTCAGTCAGCACCATATTTCTGCTTTCCGTGGAGAGAAGTATCGCTGTGCTGAAGCCCCTGCACAGGAAAGCTGTGATTACCAAGCGCCGGATCACTTGGCTCATTCTTGGATCTTGGATGCTGAGCTTCTCCTTGGCTGTGACACCTCTCCTCTCAGTTCCAAATATCACCTTTGAGTACAATTCCTGCAGTAAGATGTGCAACTATGGCTTTCCTCAGGACAAGTTGTCAGAGTCCAACTGGAGCATCATGCTCCTGTACCCAATATTTGATTTCACCCTCTTGGGTGGCACTTTCGTTGTCAACACCATCACGTTTGCCACCCTCCGGCAGTACCACAAAATGCGGAAGCAACTGAGAGAAGAGCCACAGGGGGGCAACAGGCTCACTTACTCAGATGTCACTGCTGCCAAGACCATTGGCATCCTGACCTTCGCATACTCTGTTTCTTTTGTTCCCATTGCTGTATTTGTTGTGGGCACTGTGGTGGGCTATGAGTGGTGCCGGTTCTCCTTCTATGCTTTCTGGATCCTTGCTTCCAACAGCTGTTGGAATGTGGCTATCTACAGTGTTTGGGACCCCAAGTTCCGGCACGGGGTTCGGGAAATGTTCTGCAAGCAAATGCTGATAGCCACCTCCCAGCACCATCCCAGTCACTCACTGGAGGGGCACAGTTCTGGCCCTGCTTGTGTGGTAGTCTTCAAGGAGATGCTCCGCCCAGAGAGCGGCTAGTGGCAGAGTTGGTATCTGCTGTTTTTATAGATGACTGCTTTGTCTGTGCTTCAGAGCAGTCTGGGTTTGTAGCTGGAAATTCTGGATTTTTCAGTAACCATTTTCCTATTCAGCTGTTGCAGCTTGATGGAATGGCTTTTCCCCCAAAGTATGTGCCTTCTTAGTGCCAGATTTTTCTTTCTGTTCATTGGATTGGAGCCTGTTGACCTTTGTATAGCAAATGTAGAATGAATTTATGAGGATTCATTACAGAGTGTTGGAAGCACATTGCACTTTTAAAAAATTGTTGCTAGATGAATACCTTAATATAGAGCAGCTATTTATCAGTAACTCCTAGTCCATATAAAGATATCAGCTATCTTGGTTCTGATTTACAAGAAAAAAATGTAAAGAGAGAGAGAGGGAAAGAAAGAAAGAAAGGAAAGAAAGAAAGAAAGAAAGAAAGAAAGAAA